TCCCAGGGGGGCTGGTCACACCACAATCCCTTCTCCTCCATTCTCCTTTGGGGCATGCACACACAAGTGCCTGGCATGTTTTTCAAGTAACTGGGTCCAGGACTCAAACCACACAGCCGGCCCTGTGTGATCCAGATGCCTTCATCTCCACACCATCTGGCTGGCCCTAAAACGAATTTTAGCATGAAGGAAACATGGCTAGCATTCGGTCCTCAACTTCTTGTCTTACAGTCCCATGGAAACAGACCGTGAGACAAGGATTTGCATGTGAGTATTTGGCATAGATCCCAGGAACCTTTGTAGGGAAGGGAATCTGGGAAAGGTATAAAGGGATGTTATCAAACAAATTGTGGCATGAGTAATGGGAACTGGGCCTTCTGGGGAGCTCTGGAAGATTATAGAATACTAGAACTGCAGCTATCCCACCTGAGGGGCGAGGAAGCCAAAGTACTGACTCACCCGGTCCCTGGAGTATGCGTCACGGACTACAGGCAAAGCCGGCCCCATTGGCCTCCATGGAAAATCACCTGCTGGGGCTGGAGGCCAGTGTGGGTGCACAGAAGGCAAGGGCAACAGAGTGAGGGTGTCTGTCGCACTCTCTCCCTCACTAGGCTTCTCCAACATGTACGGGCCACCGCCATTCTCAAATCAAGGGACCCCACAGAATCTTGTCCTTGTGCTCCAGAGAGAAACCTTCTCCTCACCGGGTTCTGTCTCCTCCTGATCCCCACTATGCCTTAGTCTTCCAGTCCCTGCCCCACCCCGCTCAGCCTCTGGTGCCCAGGGTCATTAGGATTCCGCAGGCGCTGGGGCTGGGCGAGAGAGGAAGCATGCCTTATTATGCTGAAAGGCTGGTCCTTCTCTGCATGAAGCATATTACCAGGATGGTCCCTGGCACCTAACCCTGAATATTCCTGGCTCTGGGCTGAGGGTGGATGCTGTGGGAGGGGAGAGTGACAGGCCTAGAAAGGGAACAGGGTTTCTCAGAAGTCATCTCACACACTCAAAGCTCCAAAGGGCTTCAGGAATTTTCCAAGACTAGAGATTTCCCCAAGTGTGGTCTGTAACTACCAGCAGAACCCATCAGAAGGAGGCTCCCTGAGGATCCTACCCCAGACCATTAAAATCAGACTCCTAGAGCTGAGAGTAGCATTTGGAACCAAGTGCTCAGGTGTCCCCATGTGACTCAGGGAGGAGCGAGGGGGCCTGAGCTGTCCCCCTACCCCAAGCCAGGTCCCATTCTTGCTTTTGCTTTCTTGCCTCCTGTCCCTGGGAATGCATGAGGCATTTGGTCAGCCCATCTCCACCCATGCTTGTCACCTTGAAGGGGGCTGAAGGCTGTAAAATGCTGTTTCCATAGTAACAGCATCCAGCCACTGGGACCACAGGCAGGGAGCCAGGGAACCTGGGGTGTGAGGCTGGAGTCAGACTTCTGAGAGACTACAGCGACTGCTAGGGATGACAGGCGCTGAGGAGGGGGATGCGTGATCCAAGAACCCTTGGGTGGGAAGGGTTCCCAAGGTCATCTTGTGGATCCCTCTGTCTCATGAAGTACTGTACCCACTACCAGCCTACTTACGGCAGGCCCTGGGGAAAGGGGATGCAGAAATGAAATAGAATATTAGGTCATCAGGGATGTCATGGCATATTTTTCTGTGTAAAATGTGTCATGACTTTCCCAACGACTCAATACGTAAAAAGTAATAAAAAATAGCTAATATATATATATGCATATATGTATATATATGTGTGTATACACACACATATATATATCATATATATATATATATGATATATATATATATGATATATATATATAGAGAATGGAGGAGAAGGGATTGTGGTGTGGCCATCTTCCTCGTGGGGAGGGAGTGCTTTCTCCTTCTTCTCGCTCTGGTGAGCATAAATAGTCCTTGGCAAAAAAAATTAATAATAATAATAATTAATTAATTTAAAAAGAATTTATAGGGCCCAGTGAATGTTTCACAATCATCCTTTCAAGCTGGTACTAATTCCAGTCCCTTTTACTGTGAAGAAAACTGAGATTCAGAGGCTTGAGGTGCCTTGCCCAATGTCACTGTGAGTGGCAGAGCTGGCCGGGATAGGACACTGAAGGCTTAGTGTCACCCTTAGGCAAGCCTGGACTGACAGCTGGGTCTGCACTGGCCACAGGTTTGTCCTTTCAACAGTCCTGCTATGCCTGGCCACTGCCATGTGTTCAGGGACCCTGGATGACTAGGCTTGGTCCTCTGGGTGGTGCTCACATCAGGCCTCTTGAAGCACATGAAACAGTGTTGCAGGATGGTTAGTGACCGGGTTCTGGAGTTGGACTGACTAGGGTCCCTCCCTGGTTCCACTATTCACAAGCTGTGAGTCCTTGGCCAAGTGAGGTAACCTCTCTGTGCCTTGATTTCCTACCTGCAAAATGGGAATAGTAAGATCTCAGAGACTGGTTGAAAGTATTAAATAAGTTGGCATGTGGAAATCCCTCAGAAAGCTGCCTGGAACATAGAAGCTCTCATTCATGGATCTAGTAGGGGCCAGTAGGTGTGTGTGGTTAAAGTGCTGACTTCCTACGTGGCCGACTATACAGTTTGAGTCGTAGACCCAGCAGACTGAAATCACACCAGGCGTGTGTGCATGCATGCCCAAAATCTCGAGAGGAGAATGAAGGAGAAGGGACTGTGGTGTGGCCATCATCCCTGGGGGGTGATTTCTCACTTTCTGTGTCTCTCCGGTGAGCACACATGCCCGATGGTAAAAACAAACAAACGAAAACCAAACCAAACCAAAACAACAACAGAACAGATCTAATAGTATATATATTTCAGCACCAGCCCTGCCAGTCCCATCTTTCATTACCTGACAAATCAAGGGAGAAATGTCTCCAGAGGCCCTACTAAACTCCCCTACTGATTCCTAGAGAGTTTTTCATTCTTTGAATCTTGGGATTCCCTCATTTGTTTTTTTTTGTATCCCCAGGTATCTCTCTAAGGCTGAAGGGGCCTCATTTATCGGCTTTTGCCCAAACTTTCTCATGGCAGGGACATGGAGGCGCCACCTTTCTCATGGCAGGCACATGGACCAGCCTCTCCCAGGAGGAGGGGCCGCTATGGCTTTGAATTAGCAAAACCTCAGTCCCAAGAGGCCACTCTGGGCAGGTGGCGGCTGTGGCATCCCTCTCTGGGATTTTTAAAATAAAGTTTGCTGCCTGGTGGAGTGGGAAGAAGATAGGACTCACGAGGAACCCCAGGTCTGCCATTGACATTACCGTGAAACCCCCTTTTCAACCCACCATGGGGTGAGCAAGAGACAGTAGGAGGAGTGTAGCCTGGACTCAGGGACCTCTGGAGACGCTTCTGCCCTGACGTTGATGGCCGGGGTGACCCCAGGAAGGTTGCTTTCACCTCTCTGGCACGCGGTTTACCACAAC